AATCCAATACATAATAGATTTACCGTCGGCGGTTATAAATTTTCACGGGCCACCAGACAACCCCGAAAGTCTGGGGGAAAGTAAAATTGTCGCGAAATAAGCGTCAACCGGGCGCGATTTATGAATGACTAATGTCGGGGGTAAGCTGTCTCAACCAGAACCCGATCGACCTCCCCGGTTCCGTTTTCCCTCGCCCACCCCCCCGCGCGCCTCTCGTCCTTTCCACTCTCCCGCTCCTCCAGGACACCGATAGCGATTTAAATGGGAGCGAGCGATCCCGTTCGCAAACTGCTTTTAAATCAAATTTCGACCGGGATTAAGGAGTTATGGGTGAATATTTCCGGCCAGCACCTGCCGTCGCGATATCGCCTTTCAATTTACCTAATATATGTGTGAATGTGTCTTCATGAATAAAACATTGTATCAGCGGATCCTTTCGCTCGGATAGTGTCTCAATAATATCCATGAATTTATCGACCTATCCTAATAAATACTTGCATTACCGGTATTAGGTGTATATTTATTTAACTATTTGGTCCAGGAGTTATTTATCTATCCAATAGAGGCTATTTTATTTATATTAAAAAGAGCCAAACATTACTACTTATACTGTGAATTTATAGGAATAACACAAGTTCCAGAAATAGAATACATTGGTAGGGTTTTCAAATGGTTCTGGACAGTTTTAGATTCTATAACTATTTTAATAGTCCATAATAATTTAGAACGATTTTAGACCTCCTAGGATTATTTGAAACAGTTTAGGATGATAACAGAAATATTTAGAACATCAGTTCCAGGACAATTTGTAACGGTCCAGAATGAACTAGAAATGTCCAGAACCATTTGGTATGCTTGAAGGACTATTGAGAAAAACATTTTACGACTAAAATAATCAAGTTTACAAATTAAAATCTTTTAAACTTCCTTTTTATCTCCACATCACTACTGACCAAGATTGGGCCATACTTTGAGTACATTTTCTTCATCAATTCCATAAATAACACCCTGTATGCGGGGCAGATCCTCGTAGGTACTGTATGGAAGACAAGGGATAGGCTGAGATTTCCATTACACGACCTGCACCATCATTCTTTGTGTGTTTTCATAAAAAAAAGTTCAAGCGCTCGTCGAAAAGAAAATCCGTCTAATCCGGGCCCTCGGATTTGGTAAAAGATTCGAAGGTTGTCTGCGGGGACACATGTGCTAAAGTGGCCATTTTGGCTGAGTGAACATTCAATTACGGCCTTCTATCCTGCGGTGGCATCTCCAACGCCGATAAGTTAATATGAACTGACCTAATCTTAGATATCGGTCCGAAGGGATTATTTACTGAAGTTCTAAATCTTGGAGTTGGGCCGGGGTGTGGTTATTCGGTGGGTTTTTTTGCGTGCGGTTAGAGTTTTTGTTTTTATGATTACGAGAAACTAAATAGCAGGAAAATGTTGAGAACAAAAACCGTACGAATGCAGAAAGACAAAACATATTTTCGTGAAAGTAGGATAAACGTTAAAGAGCAAACAAAATCACAACCTCCTTTCAACCCAACAATGAAACTCCGCTTTTCTACACTATAGGAAAATAAAATTTTTACATTCCCCATACGAACTCGGTAATAAGCAGTGTATTTTTTGCCTTTTGTCATATATCCTTTAATTTTTCGCCAACAATGGGACGAGAAATTGGTCACGTAACGCCCTTACCGCCGCCATTAGAAAATTTATCCACGTACAATTTGCGCTATTGTGCCATCTGATTGCTTGCCAACGTCATCCAGATTCCGATCGGCCGGATCGTTACCGAAAAATCGCATCCGGAATATTCAAAATACAAACTCGAATAAATCATTTACCAGGGGATTTTTTTTTTCATGCGCCATCTCTTCACCTTTTGAATCTGTTGTTAGTTTCGTACATGCAAGAAAAATTGTAGAAAATATCGAGGAGTAATGACAAATTATCTAAATAGAAACCATGAAAAAATTTAAATAGAAATCAACATGTAAATATTAAAAACTGACCAAAAATTGTGTCAAATTAACACAAATATTAAAAAAAAATCACGAAATAAAATTTGCAAAATAAATCAAAACATATTCAAATCAATCCTCATTTATCATTAATCTAAATAATTTCGACCATATTATCCATCTGATATCCGCTCGAAAAAAATTCAAAGTAGAATCTTGCAATATCTTATACATTTTTTTTGTCTTTTCCGGATTCGCAATTCGAGTATAATTAATTTTTTTTGCCGGGTAAATAATGATGTTTATGCTCCTTCTTCGGTATAAAAACAGCCGGTTTAAAGGACTGTTGGATTTAAGAAGAGTCAGTTAATTTATTTAACGGATTAAGCGGAAACTCCGCGAGATGGAGTATTAGAATAAAAAACTTGAGCTTTTTCGGATACTCATTAAACGCGAATAACAATAAAATGGAATTGAAATATATGCGGAAAGGTTCTTCTAACTTGTGTATTATTCGGAGAGGAAAAACCGTATTCAATGGAAGAAGAACGCTTTTCGGCTCTTCAATTATAATTATAAAGCACTTAAATACGGATTATAATTAAAACACACCCGAATGGATGTAACATCATTAAAATAGTCGATGGTTTGATAACGAAAAACCCGATGGAGCGTACGTAATACGTTTCCAAATGGAAATTTCCCGAGCAACTCCCCGAGAAGGAACGAGTCTATTTTCTGGAAAGACATATAATTCAGTGGAGTTTCTCAGAGTCAGGACCAGACCAGAGGGAACACCGAAGATATATGGTGCTAATTATCCACTCAAGACAAAGTGTCATTTCCTCATTCATCATCATTAACCCGTCATAATCCACAAACGACTTTCACATTGTCCTCGTATTCGCGAAAATTATTTTCTTCCATTTTTTTCGGCTTTTTTCCGAGACGTCTTGTTTCGACGGTGCAGCCCGTTCTAATTTCTAGTTGCGCCGCAGCTTTTAATTATTATAATTAACGCATTTAATCGGTCGCGAGTTTTATTTTTTCGCTTTGGCAAGCATGAAAACAGACTGCGGTAATGTGTAATTATTTACGCTATTCGACGCGTTCGGTAATATACGAATCGGATATTGGTTGATTATTGACCGCAGCTGAGCATATATTAAATCATAATATACATTATTATAAACGTGTGTATAATCATGCAATTTTTTTTTGTAGTTGTTGTTTCAATTATTTCGATATTTGCGGTAGTAAAAACGAACGAGTCCATTATTAATGTTGGGAATTTATTCAAATTTATCCAATAACCTTTTCGGAACGGTTGAGCAAGCATTTCGTTGACCCGGGCGAGAAGAAAGACTGGCAAATTGTATCATCGCCCAAACAAATTGGGGTTCATTCGATTTTATTCCATTCCACTTCGCTTTTCCTGAAGAAATTTACGCGAAGCTACCTTACTGCAATCCGCAATTCCAATAGTACGGGCGCTTAGGTCTAGAATTTAAATATTAATTGCATTAATTTCAAGATGCGGCTCTATATTAATTGGACATTATTTTTTTCAAATTGATTCAATAACTGTTTCGAACGGTTAAATCAGTTAGTGTTCCTTCGATTTCGTCTTGTCTATAATACATATTTTTAATAGTAAAGGCGCTTAAGTCAATGAATCAAATATTAACTGCACGTTGATGTGGTTTTTGTTTGCATGTCCGAACCCGTCTCGAGCACATCCGAGAAGGATTTCCCGAAGGCAAACCTACCAACGGCAGTCAAGTCAAGTCCAAATGCTGGAGCTGATTCAACTCGTACTATACACATACACCTCTCTGATATTCCGAAATTCTAAATTCCCTTAAAGTCCGTGTCAGTTGCAGGGCCGTAAAGCTCCTTTCTCAGTTCGATTGCCGCGAGCGCAAGATCAAATACGTATTGGATTTAGATTTGGACTCGGCTGTTTTTACTTTAAAATGTAATTTCTTCTCGAGTCAAAAGCGGAGAGCGAACAATTCGGAACGGGGAGTTGTATTTGAAATTTTATTCGTTAAGGATGACACCTTTGTGGTGTACGTAAAGCGGAATTTACAATTCCTCGTATTGCCCCCACACGATATAATATGGCCTCGGGGTTGTTGGAGTATCCAGCCAAGCTCGGCCTTGGACTTGTTGGGTAAGCGGTTCGGGAATAAAGAAAAACCCTTTTTGAAAAACGATCCACTTTCCTTAATACAGTGGATGATCGGTAAAGTGAACGTTATGAAAAAATTTATGAAGTGGATAATTTTATCTGCCGTAGATATACGAGTGTTGTGCTCGGCACAAAAATAACTGTAAATCTTCAATCAAAATCGGTATCGATTCGGCATAAACATAAACGGGCATCGAACACAATGTTCCGTATCTGATTTATGCCGGAAAAAAACACACACACACACACACATACACAAAAACGTAGCGAAACACAAAAGAGAAATGCATTGAATGTGATTTATCTGTATGAATAAATTCGAAGGGGCCGTGGAAATTTACCCTTGCCCGAGTAGCCAATTTAAAAAGGCGCCCAATTGGGCACGAATCGGCGTCGAATTACCCGTCGCGAACAAGAACCGTATTAATTTGGGAATTTCGTCGGAGATCGGCCGTCGGATTTTCCGAATTACCGGCCGAAAGTTATACGTGTCCGATTCTTCGGACACGAATCATTTCGTTCGCCCGCACGAATCCCACTCGATGAAATTTTATTTCGAATAATCGCTGTACAAAATCGATGAAACAATTTGATTAACTCGAATCATATCACTGAATTTAGCTGAAAAATTCAGTATCTGTGCTAAAAGATATTAAAAGTCCTGTATTATGGAACTAATGAATATAATTTTCTACAAAAATTTCATATATTATATTTTTCAAGTTGCATCAATTAATTAGTTATTTTTTTTGCAGGTAATTATCCACCCAATCACCGGCACAATCTTCTCGCTTCCGGGAGGAAATTTAGGGTGAAGTTGGGCAAGTACAAAACAATTTTCAACATCAATATATTTATTTTATAGAGTTCTTAAAAACATCACACTTTGAACAAAGTTATAATAGACTCGACGACGGTCAGTTCATCTAACTGGTAGTGATCGATTCCATTGATAGTTTGTAATGAAACGCTGGCGCTAGGAGTGATTCTAGCGTTGTTCGTCACATTGAAACCGTCTGTGACATGCGAGTTTGTCACCGTGGAATTCGGGCTCACGTCTAAGGTTCTGGCGTGAACGTTAATAACATCGGAGCCTGTGTGTCTGAACAAATTGAACAATCCAGGCGCTTTAGGATCGGAGTTTGTACCAACGAAACCAAGCGAATGCTCCTCGGGTCCAATTTTGGCTCCATGAGGATAGGTCACGTTTACTTGCCTTTGGATGAACCACCGTACTATTACGGGGTAATTGTAAGGGAAATATTTGTCGGAAAGGATTTCGGAAGAAACCGCTGTAAACCACAAAAATCAAAAAAATTACTTAGCATTGTGGGTGATTCACGAATAATTACATAATTCCAAAGTAACGTTAACATCTCCAAGAGACCAGGTATTAGATATGGCGTCGTTTTCGGAGGTTTGGTGACCGCCCATGATATTGTAGCTGAATAAATTGGCAACGTTGAAACTCTTGAGTCCTCGCAATCCATCCATGTGGAAACTGGCCCAAACGTTGTAGTATAATGAATAGTTAGTGTATTCATCAGCATGAGACAGTCTCGTTACGTCCAAATCTAATTCCCATTTTGATGTACTGTTTATGGTGATGTTTTGTTCGGTAAAACCATAGTTTCTAGAATGAGTTTCACGTATAGAAATGAATAGTAGGTATTAAAATTACTAACTTACTCTTGCTTGGAGTTGTCCAGTTGAGCCTAAAAGTGCATGTTTGCATTTAAAGTAGTATTAATAGTATTTATTAACTACTTACTTGAGTGTATAGGATTAAAGATGCTAAAATTGCAGCGAAAATGTGTGAGAATTGGAAATTTTTCATCTTAATTAAGTTACCTGATGGAGCAAATTAAAAAAAATACTAACTACACTAAATTACCTAATATTGAATATATACCAATCAAATCAATACTTAAAAAGATAAGATAAATATTTAAAAAAGCGGAATTGCGTCAGTTATGGATCAAAAATTACCTACTAATTATCGATAATAAAATCTAAAGTTACATCCGACATTGTGTGCAAATACTCGAGCAATTCGAAGAGCACCGGAGAGCTCTGCGAGTGTTTTTCGTACGAACCGCGGGAAATTCGAAACAAGCCCTCGGTAATTATATCGGATCTAGTTAACAAAATGCGCCGGCCAATTCCAGGTTGAACTTTTCAACGAAATTAGAGCGAGCCGAATTCGATTCCGTTGCATTTTTCACCGGGTAATTTCGTTTATTTTCCGGACAATTTGCCTTTTTAATCAGCGATCGCTAGGTGAGAATTTTTGCGCCGGCGAAACGCGATTAATTATCTAATTAGAGTTGCGATAACGATTAGTTTGACCGTGGACCGGGAACTTCCCGAAAACCGCTCGGTCGAATTGCATTTCGGGATTAATCGCGCCACGTTGATAATGGACAAGTTGCAATTTGAAAACTTCGATGGGTCGATTTAATTAGATTCAATCTGGCCCTTTCCCGAAGGACACTTATCGTTCCGGTTTCGACTGGGTTTTATTATGTTTGGCTCGAAGCTCGTCCTTCGCCTTTGTTACAAAACTACTATTATTCCACCCCAACTTCCAATGGAAATTAGTAACTTAAAAAAAATCCCTTTTTTTATCGAGTAAAAAATAAACAATATTCCCTTTATGTGTGATATGTAATCATTTAATAACGCACGCTTTGAACATCCATTTTTATCGATTTGTTTTCGTTGGGAAAAAACAGCGAATAAAAAAAATAACCGTCAAAAGCAGAATTCATTTTGTAGTCTTTCCGCACAAACGAAATACAACAATTCCGGCGTTTTGTAACAAATTTCATACAAAAAAAATGCAACGCTTGCCGAAATAATTGCTCCAACAAGCGGCAGGAATTTAAACCTTCGGACAGCCAATCACGCGGCCAACAATTTTTCATCGTCGAAGGGTTTATCGCTTTCATATCGGTCATTAAAAGTGGCAAAAAGCTTAAATTCACCGACTCTTTTTATGATTTCAATCGCGAACCAGGCTTTAATGCTCAACAAATAACAAAATGGGCTTCAGTTTAGTTTATAAAACTTCAAATAAAACTACACATTCGATTCTCTTTCAAAACTATTGGGTAATAAACGGTTTTGATTTATTAATTGTTTTTGCCCCACTTACTTCTATTTTTGATTTTATACCAGCAGTTCCATACCTTTTAAAAAAGAATAATAAACAATAAAGTGTTTTACTTCCTAGAAATCAAATCAAAAGTTACTATTAATGCATATTTGAGAGAGAGAAATGTAGAGAAATTATTCAATTTCCTTAATAAAAGAGGATGATTATTAAATAAACGTTTTACTTACTTTTGCCCCACTTGCTCCTATTTATTTTGATACTAAACATTAAATCAACAGTTCTCAAACTTTGTTTTGATACCTCAATAGAACGTTTATTAACAAATTATTCTAAATTTTCATCATCAAATCCTCATTTATACCTCAAAATCTAATTGTTTCGTTAGTTTTCGTAACTGCATATGACGTAGAATTAAAAGAGCAAATATTAGAGTAAAAATGTCGGAAAATCGGGAAAACTTTGCGCTTATCGAGCCGTTTTAGAACGTATAAAATTTTCGCTTCGTATTCGTTGATTGCGAGGACTTTCATATCGCGTTAAAGTCGAAAGTTTTCTCTGGAAATCTCGAACACGGTCGGAATATTATTTAATATATGTCGAGTGGAAATGGGTGAAGTGGAGAACAGTAACAGATAGAATGTAATTTAATTGAACGTTTAGTTGTTAACGAACAAAAAGTCGCAATGGCGACCGTTTCCTTCCACCGGAGTTTTAATGAAATTAAATCGTCTTCCAGGACTTTTTTTTTCGTTATTTTCATAATTTTCCGTGTTACTACCATTAGCTTAATAGAATGTTTGGTCGACGGCATTTGATAAGAGACTTATCATTTTCTAGGCGACGACTTTAATTCTATTCGGGAGTAGTAAAAAATTCACTCGTTTCTCCGGATATTCCATTTAATCCAGGGAAATTTTAACATTCCCTACTTAAGGATAAATGCAATTCATTAAAACTGCTTATGTATAAATTTTATTATATTTAAAATTACCCATCAAATAAACTGTCGGATTAACACTCAATACAAACAAGTAGTAGGGAGTGGGGCAAAATAAATACATTCCTTAATTTCGGAAAATTTATATGTATAAGCAAATTCGAAAGCTTAAAAGACTAAAAGATCTGATATCGTTCATTAAGCGCATCTTCAGAGCGACGAATATGAGTCGAACGAGTTACAATACGAACTTTTCCCGGCAAATAAATAATTCTAAAAAGTTGGAAGTTATGCCTCTGTTTAAAGTTCGGGAGAAATATAGTTTTCGCGAAAAGTTTAATGTATCTCGAGCAAGCCAAACAACTCGCGAAGTAATTTTGCCCAACTTCTTGTAACCTGTTAAAGTTATTTCATATACTACCAATTTGAGTAATATGAATTATAACGAGAAATTAATGACAAAGACGGTTTATTTGTTGTTCGTAATATTCACATAATATTAAAGTATACGTGGAGTTTCCGACGAGTAGGTAATATTAAACTTTCTGATATATTTCTACTTACTCAAATTACTTGATACTTACTTTATTTACTTTAAAATTAATCTTCTACGGTTTTAAAGGATATCAATTACTTCTGAACTTTCTTGTTATGTGTACACATCGTAGTATATTAAGTTTGTTTTATAAACAGGGAGCTCTCGTTAAAAATTAACCAGATACCAGTAGATTAATTTAAATGCGCCGATCAGCAGAATTAATTTTCTCCCTACCTTTACCTTGTATACCCACGAAACTATTCAATTTATATGCAGATATACAGCAGATAAGACGGCGTATGCTAATATCACAACTCTTAGTTTCTCGAAATTCGAATTTTAGGCCGAGCAAGTTGATTTTTTCGCTGGAACAGAAAGGGCGATATTCAAATCCGGCGCCCCGGTATAATTGATTTTCTCGCTCGAAATAGGTGTAGTTTTCACCGTGCGTTTTTCATTCAATTTTCCCCGAGTAGATTTATCTAAGTTTGTTTATTCTAAACGACTTCGCGAAAGGGTGTAAATCATCGTAATGAAGCAGACGGAAGACGAACGACTTTAGAAATTAAACGGTTTTTATTTTCTTTTCGGTTCGCTTTAAGTGGAAATTTACAAACCGTGTAAAATAGTGGAGTGCATTAACAAAACGCGTTTGTATATGGCGGGAAAATAAAAAAAAATGTATTATAGTTCGGGCAATTTGCATTGATTATCGTTTACAAAACGTTGTGTATGTACAGTTAGAAAATATACTCGTATTTATAAGTGTCCGTGAACTTATACTTCCTGCATTCGATACAATAAAAAATGATAGTTACTCCACGATTATTGCACAAGATATTTCCAAGCGACTCGTTATTACTACACAATATACAGTATGTTCAAATGTATTAATTTTAAATGTTAAATATCAAATGTCATATGTCAAAGTCGAACGTCAAACTTTGCATATTATATAGAACATTAAAAGAACTATAGTGGTAGTTCAAATTAAATTAGTGTGTTAATTAATTGCGTGTATTCAACACCCTGTAGAGCCTTGGTGTCGGAACGAGAATAATTATACAATAAACGAGATAAATTGTCCTACCGAACGATATAAATCTTGCGAAATGGACGTGCGGATTCCGAACGAGAACCGATTCGCATTGACCTATTATTTTCGAGATAGAGATATCTCCAGTAACGGCAAAAATTTAATAATACCGAGCGATTTTAATATAACTTATATCGCTCGTACCATCTCGAACTACCTACATGAAATTGAAAAAAAATACATATAACGAGTAGTTATTTTAAACATTCCAACCGACCCCGGTAATACGTTATTGAAAATAGAAAGGTATTGATTTCTTAATCGACTTCTTATAGCAGACACAAAAATATTAATTACACAGGAGTTAATATAATCTTCCTTCGATGTTAGATTTGCGATTAATCGATTGGGAATCGATGAAAAAATCGCGGTACGTCGAAAAGACGGATGAACGCGGGTTTTCCGGGCCCGGAAAAGTCCGGGGAAATATGGAAATGAACGCCGCAGACGTTTCGCCTAATCAGAATCGATGGCGGGCTCGCGCCGAGTTCAAGTTAAGGGATTTATTTGTGTTTCTATAGGATTACTAACGACGTTATGCTAAACAAAAATCGATTTCCGCAACGTTGAATATGTAAAAGGTTATGAATATTGATAAAGTATTATTCCGCCCAACTTAATGTTCTTAACCTGCACCTTTCCATTAAAAATCGCTCGACCGGGATGTAGTATTCGCGAAACTCCTGCAAAATTCCTGCTATCATTTACGAAACTTCCGCAAATGTTATTTTTGATCCGTTAAATAAAACAAAGCTCATTTAGCTAGAGTTAGCAAATTAACAGCAAGCAAATATAACATTTTTCAGCGACCTACTCTATTTTATCAACAAGCTTTTGCTATCGTTTATCGTAGGAAACTTTACGCGCGCTCTCTAATGAAAATATATATAAAACGAGCGGTGAATTTACACCGCGAAAAACACCGAGCTCATTCCCGGTAACTGCAAATTGGGAAAGCCGGGAAAAACAAGAAATGAAAATTGAAAACTAAAAAAAACACAAACAAAACGACCGTGGAAATTTTATTGTTCGGATTGATTCGCTAATCGAGCGCGATCAAGGATGCCCGAAATTTCCCTAAAATGATTATTACTGCCTAGCGGCGGCGTGAAAAAAAAATCCATTTTAATTGGATTTCGTTATTTAATTAAAGAATCCAGTTTTTCTAACGGGAGCGACAGCGATCGTGCGCCCGATTTCA